AAATAGTAGTTAAACCTGTAAAAACATGTCTTTTCTGTCCATTTTGAAAARCTGGTATTTTTAAAATTTCAGCTAGTGTAAGTGCGAGATAGATAGATACRTCTTAAGGATATTTGCTATAAAGTGAATAACTGAAAAACTGTGCAACTATGCAACAGATATGTAATTTATTAAACGTATTAAAATAAAAACATATTTTGCCACTAGTTGTAAATATTTTACCTAACCATTGCAATTTTATTTTAAAAAACACTTGTTGGTGAATAAAAAGTATGGAACCAAACGTTTTTTGTTTTAACTATTTATTTTTTGAAAAAATTAATTAGTGAATGATAAATAATATGTAATAGGAATATTAATATAATTTACTTCCAACAGACTATGAAGTTATAGAGAAGACATTAATTACAAAAGCAAATTCCAGAACTTATAAGGAGAAATAGATAAGAAGCTTAATCTGATTTAGAGTGAAATTTATGAAAGAAGATGTCCACATCTAAGCCTTTAAAACTGTTATATGTTCTAAAATATTTATTAAGAGGTGAATTAAGATGATAAAATATTTGGGGAAAAATAATAAAATGTAATAAAGTGTGTAATAAAGTATATAAAATGTAAGGTTTTATCAAGAATACAATTTTTCTAATTGTTTTTTTGTTTTTGTATTCTCAAAATTTTTGGCAACATTGGCAACCCACTATAAAACTTTTTTCACAAAAGCTATGATTTAAGTAATTAACCTATTTACATTTTGTTCAATTTTTATCGAACAAAAATTTCATATTTTGCCAAAAAAACCGTATAACGGAAAAACAAAACAAAATTTCATTTTTAAAAGACAATCACAAGTCTTATAGAACTTTTTGGATAATTATTTTCTGAAAACAAATGATTTACAAAAATGCTTGGTTCCAAACTTTTTATATACCACATAAACAACTCCAAAAACCCAAATTGTACCAAAAAAATCTAATCTGATAACATGTCTCAAAAATCTCGCGGATCATTAAAAATGAAGTTTTTAAAGTTTTTTTTATAAATTTATCTCTATTTGTTGTTAATTTTTGCATTTTATATAAAAAAACTAAATTTTTAATTCCAGAAAAACACCATCTMCGTAATAAAGCATTTAAGTACTTTTACCATGTGACGAGGTGGAGGATCATATTGCCCAGATTTACCCTACATAAAATACAAAAGAAGCATTTTTTTCTGCGACACATTTATACCTATAAAACTTTTAAAACTAAACAATTGTGTGTGACTTTTAATTTTTTTATAATTTTAACTTCAGGTAAAAATAATTTGTGCAAACAAATTTCCCCGGATGAGTTTGCAAAAATACCGTTATCAAATTCCGGGATACTAGAGACTACGAGTGATTTTAGGACATCAGAAATCCGATGTATTAACGTAAATGTATTAAGATTTTTATTCTGTTAAATACAAAAATTCACCCATTATTACACATGTGTAAACAAAAATTGTGCTTTTTGCTATTAAGCAGAAAATGTCATTGAAAAAACTGTCACTTTTTGTATTACAAAGTTACGAATCGCTGTGTATTCAACAGTTGTACGSTCCTCACCCCACGCAATTCCAGCCTCCCCCGACAACCCCTCACAACCCTCCCGATTCGCCTCTCCACAACCCTCGTACCGCTGTTTTGCCACCCCCGCCAGATAATTAGCCCAGATAAGTGCCATAAATATCGAAATGATGAATGTCCTCGATCGAAGTGCTGCAACATGTGTCAGATGACGGCACAACGCCTCCTCCCTGGCACAGACATCCCCTTGGAGCAGCGAACAGGTGAGACTATAAAGCACCGATCGCACCCTTCAATGCCGCCGAACAATAATCCGTAATTTCGACGCCCTTTCACCGCGACGATTAATCAACGGCCGTAATTTCGGCTTTTTTCGCGGTTGACGCACCTTAACATTAACCTACCAAAACATGCCATCATTCAACAGCGAGTGATGTCTCTTGACGTGTAATTCAATTAAATCGGGGGTTGTTGGCGTTGAAAAAGTTGAGGTATTTTTTACAGGTGGTGCGAAAGTGGCAAAGTCATGTTTGTTGTGGTTGAAGGAGGTTTTCAGCTGAAAATGGACAAGGGGTGACATCTAGAGGGTTCAGGCGAAATGACGCAGCGAGGGTTGGGCGCCCGAGAAACTTTGCGTTTCAAAAAATTAATCTCRGATTTTTTTGGTTGGTCCAAATTAGACGGAGTTTTTTTCAAATTTTTGTTTTTAAAATAAATAAAATTGTTATAAGATTATCAAGTTTACAAAAAACGGCAAAAAGGCATTTATGATTTCAGAAATTAAAGTAATAATTAATTGTCGGTTTATAGAAAACTAATTAAAAACTAATTCGTTGTTACAAGTTAATATTATTTTTTTTAAGAATAATTATTAGTAAAAGTGAAATATATTACAGATGTCTGTACCAAGAAAACTAATATCTTCCAAATTATGGAAGAAAACATTGGATTCCAATTTAAAATTAGAAAGTTGAATAAAGCTCAAAATGTGATATGACTTTTAGGAAAATTTTAAAATTACCAGTGTATACTATACTAAAAGCCATTTAATTTATTTTTTCAAATTTTAAAATTTGACGATAAATCACTCTGTATACATATAAAAATGTTTGTACTGATCAATTTTCTTCAAATTTTTGGTCTAATTTGGTTCATTTTTCACAAAGTAATAGAGATTTCAATAAAAACAATAAAAAAACAAGCTAGTTTTTCAAAAATTAAAACCCAAAAAAAGTTTAAAGGAAAAAGTAAAAAAATCGCCTAAAAAAAGTTTATCCTATGTTTCCCATAATGGTTAGTATACGTAATAGAGGCTCGACCATAAATTCAAACCATAAATAAAAATTCTACAGCGTCTGCAATTTTTTAAAAATCACCCTCTTCATTATAAAAATATTTGTACTGATCAGTTTTCTTCACATTTTTTGTCTAATTTGGCCTATTTTTACAAAGTCATAGACATTTTAATAAAAACAATAAAGAGTAAAGTAATTTTTTAACAAATATTATCCCCAAAACAAATTGAAAAAAAAAACAAAAAAAAAATATTCTATGTTTTTCAAAATAGCAGCGCCTGCAATTTTTTAACAATCAACCTGTATACATATAAAAATGTCTGTACTGATTTTCTTCAAATTTTTCGTCTAATTTAACCTATTTTTGACGAAGTCAACATTTCAATAAAAACACTAAAGAGTAAAGTATTTTTTTAATTAATATCTCAAAAAAAAACTGGAAAAAAACAAATCAAAAAATCGGAAATTATCTAAAAACAATTTTTTCCTATGTTTTCCAACGCTAGTATTAGCGTCTGGACCACAAAAACATTCTACAGCTCCTGTAATTCTTTAAAAATCACCCTGTATACATATAAAAATGTTTCTACTGATCTTTTTTTTTTAATTTTCTGTCCAATTGAGCACATTTTTCCGGAAGTCATAAACATTTCAATAAAAACAATAAAGGGTAAAATAATTTTTCAAAAATTAATAACCCCAATAAAAATTTAAAAAAATAAAAAAATTGCAATTTATCTAAAAAATGTTTTTCCTGTTTTCCCAGACGGCTACGTCTGGGCCTTAATTCAGACCATAAATAAAAATTCTACAGCGTCTGCAATTTATTAAAATCACCCTGTATACATATAAAAATGTATGTTTTGATCAATTTTCTTCAAATTTTTTGTCTAATTTGGCCCATTTTTTACAAAATCATAGACATTTCAATAAAACCAATAAAAAGTAAAGTAATTTTTCCCCAAAAAATTAAAAAAAAAAATCAATAAATCCCAAAATATCTAAAAAAAAAGTTTATCCTATGTTTTTCAAGATGGACCATATATAAAATATAAAAACCACTCTGTATAGATAAAACAATGTTTGTACTGATCAATTATCTTCAAATTTTTTGTCTAATTAGCTCATTTTTGACGAAGTCATAAACATTTCAATAAAAACACTAAAGAGTAAAGTATTTTTTTAATTAATATCTCGAAAAAAAAAACTGGAAAAAAACAAATCAAAAAATCGGAAATTATCTAAAAACAAGTAAAGTAATTTTTCAGAAATTAATAACCCCAAAAAAATTAAGGAAAATCAAAAAATCAAAAATGATCAAAAAATGTTTTTCCTATGATGGCTACTGTTAGCGTCTGGATCATAATTTCGGACCATAAATAAAAATTCTATAGCGCCTACATTTTTTTAAATCACCCTGTATACATATAAAAAAATTTCACCTGATCAATTTTCTTCAAACTTTTTGTCTAATTTGGCATATTTTCCAGAAAGACATGGACATTTCAGTGAAAACAATAAAAAGTAAAGTAGTTTTCCAAAATTAATAACTTACAAAAAAATTGAAAAAAAATCAAAATATCGAAAATTGTCTAAAAAATGTTTTTCTTGTTTTCCAAGATGGCTACTATTAGCGTAAATTCGGACCATAAATAAAAGTTCTGTAGCGCATACAWTTTTTTTAAAATCACCTTGTATACATATAAAAATGTTTGTACTGATCACTTTTCTTGTCTAATTTGGCCCATTTTTCAAAAAGTCATGTACATTTCAATAGGTATAACTAATAAAAAGTAAGGCAATTTTTCAAAAATTAATATCCTCAAAAAAATCAAATTACCAAGATGGCTAGTATTAGCGTCTGATCTATAATTTCGAACCATAAATAAAAATTCTACAGAACCTCCAATTCTTTAAAAATCACCCTGTGTAGATAAAAAAATGTTTGTACTGATCAATTTTCTTGTCTAATTTGGCCCATTTTTCACGAAGTCATGGACATTTCAATAAAAAAAGTAAAGAGCAAAGAAATTGTTCAAAAATTAATATCCCTAAAAAAAATTAAAAAATCGCAAATTACCTAAAAAAAGTTTGTGCAATGTTTTCCAAGATGGCTAATATTAGCGTCTGGAGTAATAAAACCCCATTTCTATAAACACCTTTATTTGTTGAGAAATCCTCAAAACTAATACAAATAATTTAAATCACAAAAAACGTGGTAACATCAAAGACCTCCGGATGGCTCGTATTTATTTAATCAGTTTTATGACTCGAGCTGTTACTTTTAATTAAATTRTCGATGGTAAATAGAGTGGAATTCTTGCTTTTTCTCTGCGCCTCGGAGTCTCGGCCTTCTTGTGTCGTCGTCTCCGGCGGCCTCGTCACCAAACTGAGGGCCTGTTCCTGTAAAATAAACACGATTATTTGGAAAACAATAAATAAGCAGTAAAGTCGGACGCATATGGCGCAAAAGTCGCATGAATCGATTCATTGATCGCTTTTCGATGGCAAAACGGCCCTCAATGAACGGAAACGGCCGTCTGTCGTTAAATTTTGTAATAGGATTTTATTGCTTGTTGCAATAACATTGGATGGCATCGACGTGGGCGAGATTTATTCGCTTATAAACAAAAACACGAAATATTTTGCAAATAACATTCAGTTACCGAAATCTAATGTTGTAAATTTTCAAAATAAATAAAAAGTCGGAGTGTTTAAAAAACGTGGACTGTCGAAAAACACACAAAAATCGTGAAAAATGCCTTCAAAAGCTAGAATAATAAACCGTAAAATAGAAATCACTGAAACAAAAACA